TTCCCATGGTAATTGTTTTGATACCGTTCCTTTTTGGTACATCGACTTTCCGAATTTAAGTGCAGTACTAGATTGGCAGCGAGGTCTCATCATTTTACAGTTAAAACGGCTAGAAGTAACCGTAAGTTCTATGCTGAAAGTTCATTCTCTTGCACTTCTTGCTTGTGGAACTCTCGTCCGGCTTCTTGCTTTCTAGTCAACTTTGATCGTCAAAATTTTAAATGCAATGTCAATCGTTTTATTTTGTTTTGTTTTTCAGATTTTCTGCCTTTTTATTGTTCTCTTTAATTAAAAATGTTTTCTTTTTCTCATATTATTGCCCGTTTCCGCATATTTTAGCGTTGAAATCTTCTCATATTAATGCCTTTTTTCTTGTATTTTAGCGTCGAATGTATCCGATTTTCCGTTGCTTCGTAAAAAAAACTACTTGCTAAAGGAACTATTTACACCCTAAAACTTGATTCAATAAAAATGGTTGATAAACTATTGGTTCATACACCAGTTACAGTAGCTCTTAAACACCATTTGCAATAGAACAACCAAAGTCCTTGAAAATTTTCAATAGATTAGCCGAAACCGCTCGGAACGCAGAGTCATTTGGGCAATTCCTATATTCATGAAGTCCTTAAAAGAAATCTACTGTTCGTGTAAAAGAAGATTAAAATAAAATCCTTAGAATAAGATCTTATACGTCATTCCTTAATATTGAAAGGAACATATTCATTAACACATGCTCACACACAACCACACACACTTATAAACACACGAACACATGCACACACACACACTTATACACACGAACACATGCGCACACAATTATATACACGAATATATGCAAACAGGCACACACACACTTATATTCACGAACACATGCACACAGGCGCACACACACTTATACACACGAACACATGCTCACAGGCACACGCACTTATACACACGAACACACACACACACACTTACACACACGAACATATGCAAACAGGCACACGCAGTTATATAGACGAACACATGCACACAGGCACACACACACTTTTATACACACGAACACATGCACACACACTTATACAGACGAACATATACACACACTTATACACACGGACGTATGCAAACAGGCACACACACACTTATACACATGAACACATGCACACAATCGCGCACACACACATATACTTTCATGATCACAAAAAATTTAAATGCAATGGTAACCGTTATCATCTGTCTTCTTACTTTTTGTTCTTTTATTGCCTACTTTCCTTTATTTTTTCTTTTTCGCTCATTCTTATATATATATATATATATATATATATATATATATATATATATATATATATATTTTATATATGCAATTTTTTATATATATTAATTATATATTATATGTGGGCGGTACTTATTGGAAAGCGCTCAATATTAGTGATAGAGGCAGCATATTTAGTTGGATAGATGTGAGTTTGTGACCTGGGTTCACCTATATTTGCGATCGTCCGACAAATTTTGTTTGACGATCGCAAATAACGAAAGGCAGGGTCACAAACTCACATCTATCCAACTATATATATATATATATATATATATATATATATATATGTGTGTGTGTGTGTGTGTGTGTGTGTGTGCACAACTATATATATATATATATATATATATATATATATATATATATATATATATATAGATATTATCAAAGTTTTTTAGTTAGAACGTCACATCTAACTATTGGGTTATTTTTCTGTTTTAAGCTACTAAAATTTCTATTTTTTTGCTTTTGTTTCAAATAACTGTGATATAAATTTCAGCAATTAAATAAACCGTACAAAATTTCCTGTTTTTGGTGGTCCATCCTAAACTAACTGTTTCTCCTATAGTCAACCTCGAAATTGGTGTTTTCTTCCTTTTGTGATGTTAGAACGCTCACTCGTTGTAACTTTCGTTAGGTCAACGAATGCCCGTCATCACTTCAGAAAATGCTCGTTGTAGCCGGGACTTTTAACGCAGATACTGGTGGTAGTAACGCGTTCAAATAATACTTGCACTAGTAATAATTGTTTATAAAGTAATCGCCGAATAGTATAATGATCTGTACAGAGTAATAGTATAGGGGATAGAGTAGAGGATAGCGAACCGTATAATGATAAAGGATAGTGTAGAAGAAGCGATCCGTATAGTAATGAAGGACAGTGTAGAAGTAATGATCGCTTAGACAACACACTACTTCTTATTTATTCGTTTTCTTTATGATCACGTGATCTACTTAATTAAATAATGGAATCGCCCATATTACTTGCTGGTGATTTATATTCAAACTACGGTGTCGGCAATGACAATTTACTCCTATACAACACTTTCACACTGTGTAACCCCTCGCATCGTAATGGTTTTATTGCCTTGCTTGGGGTGAAATGATTGAATAAATTAAAGTGGTACATGCGTGAAAGAGAAAGCAATACCCGCGGCTTTAATCTTAATGGCCAGTCAGTTATGAGCTATACGAGATACAAAATTA